CTTCTAGATCCATTATTAGAAAGAGTTTAAAAGCAGCCCAGGGCTGTTTAGAGAGGCAATAGTGCTTCCTTTATTTTTTAAAAAAAAGAAGAGAGAGAAAGTAAATTATGGAATATACAAGAAAGTCCTTGAGCTACAGGAGAGGCTGAGAGGGAGCGGAGAAGAAAAATCCGTATCAGTCTTGATGAGGTCAAGTATGTTTCTTCAACATTTGCCATAATTATGTGGCAAATACCTGGCAATAATGGTGTCATTAAACAGAGCTGTGGGAACTTAGAGAAAACACTTCCCTCCTCCCCCACAGACATTTTAAATGAGTTCATGCTGGATTTAATCTCCTAGGCCTGGTCTGCTGGTGTCACCACACAAATGCAAGCTTGATGGCAATGAATAATCTCCACATATCTGGCATTGTGATTAAATGAAGCATGAGAGTAGGCTTCTGCTCTTGCATACATCATAAGTAAATGAGGCCATTCTGCAGAGAACTCTTCTGCACGTGTCCCTCGTAAGGACTTTGATACCCTGAATTAGCACAATGGCAGCTTTCCGCAGAGTTAAAACTGCTTTCAATAGGAAAACATATGTCTTGTGAGGAATATTAACACTGTTTTGTCTGTCTCTTGCTTCAGGTGCAAGACGAAACTTAAGAAATGATTTGCTGGTGGCAGCAGATTCAATCACCAACACCATGTCTTCTTTGGTAAAAGAACTGAATTCTGGTGAGTGAGGCTAATGAAGGTGGATAGTCACCACACTGACATTTGACATATGTTTGAAAAAATGGGAGGTAGGAAAATATAAACCAACAAAAAAGCCGTGTAATGTATCTTCAAAGCTTTTTATGCTTTTAGAAAAAAAAAATCCCTAAATAACGGCTTCAGGAATACAGCAGTTCTGAAAGCCATGGACGTAGAGGTGCAGCTGGATACAGTGAAAATTTTGAGAAGTTTGTTTATGATTCTACATGGAGTGGGATTTTGCTCTTTGAAATTTCATTCCATATAGAACATATAGGACCTGTCGTAAACTGCAGTCTGTAGTATTCTCATAAAAATATACTACCTAATAACCAAGATAAGGAAAAGCTTCGCTATTCTGTCCTACCACAAGAAGAAGACTATTAACTCTGCGGATATATGTAGAATAACGTACTGTCATTCGCTATGAGGAGGTGTCATTGTAAGGGGGAAAGACAAAGAAAGGCTTAGCAAAATAGGCAAGTATACTTACTCCTGTGTCACCTTTTCTTCACAGAAGTGGGCAGTGAGACAGAAAGCAATGTGGATTCTGAATTTGGACGGACTCATTTTGATGACCTTGTTCCATCCCCAACGTCTGAGAAGGCTTTCCTTGCGCAGATCCATGCCCGGAAGCCAGGGTACATCCACAGCGCTGCTGCCACCGGCTCCATCCGCAGCGACATGTGGGTACCTGCTCGATTCGCTTTCTTAATCTCATTCTTTTTCTGTCAAAAACAGCAAGCAGCATGTAATATTTTCTCTCCCTCTCAACTATTTGCTTACCAAAAAAATGCCTAAATCCACGTGAGGACAGCTTCATGGTTAGATAGTAGTGAGCTCTGTAAACAATAAAGGCCAGAACTTAGGATGCCCTCAGGAGTGAGCTGTCTCACATCCCGTCTGGTACACTGGAGCAGCGGCAGTATGGAGACTGTGGGACAACTGTGCTTCCTAATATGCCCTGCAGCCCTATTCCCTCAAGGGCCTGTTGGAGACCACTGGAAAAAGAGAAGTTTTTAACCGGGAAAGACAGAATGCTTTTTATTGACCAACTCACTTGATCAACAAACCGATTTATTTTTAGAACCTGAATCTTCCTATCAAAGACAATATGCATCTTTCCACTTATTTTTAGTTCAACCTCTTACTCTTTGTATCACTCTCAAAGAAGTTATTGAGGACTTCTGTTACTCAGTTCTGTACCCCCAAAATGCCTTCAGCAGAACATGCCCTTTGGTCTACTTCAGCAATACCAGACCACTGGAGAGGGGAAGTAGCAGAAGTGTTTTCCACTGCCAGGAAATACTAACTGGTGGAGCATGTGGTTGGACTGAAAATATCCCCCTCTCCTCATAGCGTACAATAAAGGGAAGTTTTATTGACTCTGAATGTCATTCATCTCAGGAGGCTATTTTTATTAATAATTGTGTTTAGGGTTACAGAAGATGGAGACCCGTATGTCAGAGCAGATGATGAAAATTATGAGAATGACTCTGTCCGCCAGCTGGAGAATGAACTGAAGATGGAGGAGTACCTGAAGCAGAAGCTGCAGGATGAGGCATACCAGGTGGGAGAAGGCAGCCACATTCCAAAAAGTACTGTTTTTCAATTCCACAGACACACGTGCATCTAGCCTTTGTGCACACCCAGGAAGACCACACTACCTGTAGTGTGTCCTTAAGCTTACCAGGGCATCAGGTAGGCCAGAGTTGCCTCTGAGCTTCTACTCTGCCAGTGCCTACAAAATCACTTAGACCTCAGTGCTCCATACCATAGAAGCTAGTTGGTGGTGTTAAGCTCAGGTCTTGCTATATTTTGATTTTTTTTTTTTTTTTGTCCAGTAGCGAAAAACATTCATTATGATTTCTCCACTTAGGTGGAGTCTGTGTGTCGTTGGCAGAATCTAGGAAATGACAGGATCTGGAATGAATTGTAGCCCAGAGAACCAAGTATTCAACAAGCATCTAGTATAGAGAAGCCTGGGGATTTGTCATTAAACACCCCCTGAGAAAAGCCAGTTTTCCAGGGGGAGCTGGAATTCTGCAAATCTCCTGTCCTGTCTGCGTGGCGTCCACTGAAAATCATAGAATCACATAATAGTTTGGGTTGGAAGGGACTTTTTCAGGTCACCTAGCCCAAACCCCCTGCGATGAACAGGGACATCTTCAACTAGATGGGGTTGCTCAGAGCCCCATCCAGCCTGACCTTGAATGTTTCCAGGGATGGGGCATCTACCCCTGTGCCAGTGTTTCAACCCCCTCATTGTGAAACATTTCTTCCTTAGATCTAGTCTAAACCTATGCTCTTTTAGTTTAAAACCATTACCCCTTGTCCTATCTCTATAGGCGCTGCTAAAAAGTCTGTCCCCATCTTTCCTATAGGCCCCCTTTAAGGGGTCTGCAATAAGGTCTCCCCAGAGCCTTCTCTTCTCCAGGCTGAAACCCCCCAACTCTCTCAGCCTGTCCTCACAGGAGAGGTGTTCCAACCCTTGGATCCTTTTGGTGGCCCTCCTCTGAACCCACTCCAACAGGT